AAAAAAAAAAAAGTGTACAATTCAGTGGCATTTAATGTATTCATAATATTGTGCAAACACCACCTCTCTCTAACTTCAAAACTTCTTCATCACTCTCGAAGAACACTTGTGCCCATTCTCCATGCCCTGGCATCCACAAATATACTTACTATTTCTGTGGGTTTGTCTATCTGGGCATTTCATATTTAAAGAATCGTAATTCTTGTTCAGAATTGAAGTTTTGTGTCTAGCTTCTTTCCCTTACCTTAGGGCTGTCTCTCAAGGCCCATCCAAGTCACAGCACATGAGTAACCGCTAGGATGTCTCTTTGGGTCCTACCTTCCAACTGGTTTTCCTAGAGGGCAAGACTCTTACTTGGCCAAGCAGTTGCCCTGAAGGTCTTGGGTGCTCCCTGTGGGGGAAGCAGCTGGGGGAAGACTGCTGAGTGACATGGCAACCTCGCCTACAAGAGCCAGGTAAATTGATGCCCAAGTTGAACAGGAGGAAGTCCCAACTGAAGTCACCAGGAAGGTCAAGCTTGAAGGCACAGGGAGCTGGAAAGTTCCAAGAGAGCTTTTTAAAATCCAAAATACTTTCTCACCTCCTCAAATTGCAGCATTTTCCTTTTTACTACAGTGAATATTACACCATATTTCTTGGCTTATCCAGCCTAGCCACTGCACCTTTTAGGTTATTTGGCCCCATGTGTCTGAATGGATGTAATAAATGTCCTCTTTGGAGCTAAAGGAGTTCTGGTAACACAATGGTTAAGTAATCAAGAAGTCTGTGGTTTTTACCTAGCAGCTCCAGGATAGGAGAAAGATGTGGCAGTCTGCTACTTTTGAGGATTGTAGCCTTGGAAACCCTGGGGGGGGTGATGGGGGGGGGGGGCAGGTAGACTCTGTTGGAATTTACGCTTATAGCAATGGGTTTTAGATTTTTGTGCTTAATGAAAAAGTCAAACCTAAATTTGATTATTGCAGTCTTCCACACTCCATAGAAGTTTGGTGGGGATGGGCTGTCTCTCTTCCAAGGGGCTGCTGGGTGGCTTCTAACCACCAATATTTTGGCTAAGCCACCAGGCTCCTTTATGCAACACCAAAAAAACCAAACCCACTCCCACTATGAGTTGATTCTCACAGGACAGAGGAGAACAGCTCTTTAGTGTTTCCAAGATAGTAAATCTTTCTGGGAGCACACATTTTTTCCCCCACACTGCACTGCTAGGGCTCCTTGCTTTATGTAAAAGGTACTAGAAATCAGACAAAGTAAAACCACTTTTATTTCATTTCAGATTTATCTACATACAGTTGTTGTTTTGCTAACTAAAACAACACAAATATGTGGGCTTTGGTGACAAAATTTGTTAAAACAGTGGGGAAAATGACCTAAATATGCAAAAGCAATGTTTGGTCTCAGGAAGAGCTAGGGTTAGGGACTGTCTGCAGTCTCAGAGATGATGTACAACTCCTTTTTAAGGAGTCATGTTGCCACAAAGTCTTCTGCATTTGCTTCAGGCACAACTAGTAGCCCTGGCAAATGCTGAAGCCAGGTGTCCAGATTCCCTGTCTACTGCCCCAGGCCTAGAGCCTTTCATCTTTTTTCCTAGCGCCTACACAGGGAGACAGGGACCTGGGATGTCTACAAAATGGGTCAATATTTTCAGAGGGTAGTATTGTTTTTCAGACATCTTCTCTTTTCAAGGACTAACTGGGATATTTTGTTGTTTTGTTTTAATTCTTCAGGTAATACAGCAAATCAGGTGTATTTTCCTAGTTTTTATCATAGAAACTTCATTTGAGGATTGCCAGTGAGCAAAAAACTCCAAGCTGACAATGTGTCCACGGCTCAGCTATATCCTCTGATAAGTCTGCCAAGATTTCTTACCAGAGCTCAGCAATCCCAAGTTGCATGATTCACTGACATAAGTGCTTAGGAAGGGTGATGGACAGCAAGGGTGAGAATTGGAAGAAAACAGGGCAAAGGTAAAATAGGGAAATGGGGGAACTAAATTGGGGAAGAGGAGCTTGCTAAGTACAAAATTCAGACCTACATTAAGACCTGCCTCTGCAGTGTCCAGTCAGAGACAACACTGGGCACCTACGGCCCCAGCTCCCTGGGCACGGGCGCCCCGTCAGAGGCGCAGCTGCACTTCTGCACCCTCATGTTGGGCAGGCTCACCACCTGGGGCCTGACCCTGCCTTCCTCCTTGATGCTGACGATCATGGGCAGTGAGGCCGTCTCTGAGGCGATACACTGCCGCGGCCCCAGAAATGGCCACTGGAAGGTCAGGGACTCCTGAGGTTGCCGGCAGGAGCCCACACACTCGTAGGCCAGGAAGCCTGGGGGCTCCAGGACCCAGTTCTCTGCCCACTTCATCCCCTGCAGGTCGACGTACATCTCCTGGCGGCAGCAACGGGTGCCCTCGGTCACTGGCACATCCGGATCACAATCACCCTGAGCTCTGTTGGGGCAAGGACAGGCAGGATCAGAGGTCAGCTGTGAGGGCTGAGGCCCAGGGTTAGGTATAACTGGTATCTAGGAGGGAGAGTTATGACCCATCTTTCATTATGTTCTACAAATTAGAAAGGATATACAAACATGACTAGTAGTAATTAATGTTTACTGAGGTCTCCTATGAGTTGCAGAAGGAAAGGCGTCTTTTCCCCACAGCAAAGTAAAAAGTCACCCTTGTCAAGATAAGTTTAAGACTGGATTAGTCTGTCAATTCAGGTTCCCCGTTGGACCCCTCAGTACCTACCCATAGGCCTTCAGGTCCAGCGTGTGCAGCTCCAGCTGGGGCTCCCGCTGGCCCGAGCCCTCCAAAGCCTGGGAGGTGAAGCGCACCAGCTTGTGGGCGTCGGAGGCCAGGGGGCCCAGGTGTTCCTTCTGCACCGACACCTGCAGCAGCAGCGGCTGCCTGGGTCGGCTCAGCTGCTGCCACAGGCTCACCGCCTCGGTCACGTCAAACGCCTTCCAGCCACTTTCGTGGAGGTACACCAGCCTAGGAACAGACAGGGGACCGACCGGGTCACAGCGCGCCGCGGGGGCCCCTCACCGTGCCATCCTCCTACGCTGGACGCCCCACATCCACGACCCCTACTCCCGCTACCCTCGCTACCCCCGCCACCCCCCAACCTGGAGTCGATGAGGGATGTACGGTTGGTCCCGTCATCGCGCACACGCAGCCACTCGACAGAGACCCGCGCCCGGGCGCTGTGCGGGAAGAGCCGCTCCTGCCTGTGTAGTGCGGCCTTGGGGACAGGCTCCTGGAAGAGCCGCAGCACGGCCTGCACCAGTTCGCTGTCCGGCGGCAGCCGCTGCTCCATGCTGAACACCAGCAGATGTTTGGAGGTCTCTGACGCCAGGAGCCTGCCGGCCATCTCTGGAAAAAAACAACATTGTTAAAAGAGCCTCTCTGGGGGATCGGGGGTTGGGGGGGCCAGTGGCTAGACAGCTGGCCAGCTTTCTGTCTCCCTAACCAGATGCCATCAACCAGACTCAGACCCCTGGCGATCCCAGGTGTGTCCGAGCACAACTGCACACTATAGGGTTGTCAGGGGCTGATTTTCAGAAGTCGGTTCCTAGGAGGCTCTCTCTGAGTGGGCTCAAACCCCCAACCTTCCTGTTAGTAGTCCATGGCATATCCTATAGCACCACTGAGGTTACCTCTTTAGTAACGATTTCCACCCCAACTATACGAAGTAGCTCTAAGACCTTGAGCTAATAGGGGGCTTCTTATGAGAAGCTGACATCAGAATCCTTACCTCTGGGCTCCTGGCCTTGGAACTCATCTAGCTCAGACTACTGAGGAGGTGAGCCCAGCCCCATGCCATCCCTGTCAGCGGAACAGCACAGCTAATATTTTACATCTCCAAAGAGGGCTCTTTTCTATCTACACCTTACTATTAACAATACTAAGAGGTAGACAAAACAGTCAGACCATTTTTTCCAAATGAACTAACAGGTTCAGAGAAGATGTTAAAGTCATTTGCTCAAGGTCAGGCTACTCTGTTGTTCGCAGCTGTCCAGTAAACCCCAGACCTTCGGCATATGGAGGGTTTCTTCACTGGCTGATGTTCAAAGTAGAACTACACTCCTTCCTTCTCAGCCCTTCTTAGCTTGGAAGCTCTGCTAAATCTGCTAAATATCATTGTTGTTGTTGTTGTTATGTGCTGTGGGGTCGGTTCCGACTCATAGCAACCCTGTACAGGGTTTCCGAGGCTGTGAATCTTTACGGGAGCAGAAAGCCTCATCTTTCTCCCGCGGAACAGCTGGTAGTTTCAAACTGCTGACCTTGTGGTTCACAGCCCGATTCGTAACCACTACGCTACCAGAGCTCCTAGGAACACACAAACCCCCACTGACAAAATGATGTGCATTGGCTGGAAATTCAACCCATGTCTCCTTCCTATTGTTGTTAAGTGCTAAGGACTCATAGTGACCCTGTATATGGTTTCCGAGGAATGGCTTGGGGGTTTGAACTGCGGACCTTGGACCTTGTGATTAACATTCAAATGCTTGGTAGCTTAGTTATTATGAATGGGGCTGCTAATCTCATGGTCATCAGTTCAAAACTACCAGATGTTCCGCAGGAGGAAGATGAAGCTTTCTGCTTCCGTGAAGATTTATAGCCTTGGAAACCCTACACATGGTCACTATGAGTCAGAATGGTCTCCACAGCATACCGTCACCACCACTACAGCGTCACACCATGACTCCTCTACCACTGAGCCACCAGTGCCCCCTTAGGCTACTAGGGGCAGTGTGAAATGGAACCCAGAAGTCCTGACTTCATCACACTGAGGATGAGCCTAGGGCCTTGCCACACCCAGACATTCCTCTTTCTCTTTCCTGCCCTCCTCTTGTCTGAAGTCTGGGCTTTGCCATAGGGTCTAACTTGCCACACCTCTTCTGGTCCTGAGGGGTGGGGTCTTCAGTGCACAGAGACCAGGGCCCAAGATCCCCATGCTCACAGGACCATGCACCCTCCTCATTGCCCATTGAGTAATGAACCCCCAAGTAGTTCACTCAACACAGAGAGAGAGAGAGAGAGACAGGAAGCTCCATCCAGGGTCCCGTGGATCACAGCAGAGCAGGCATGACCAGGGTACAGCAGGGAGGAAGGTCTCACCTCGGAATTTCTGGCTGAACCTCTTCCCTCGGGAGGGGACCCTGTGGCTGCGCTGCAGCAGAGTCACGTACTGGGCCCTCACGTGGGCAGGGATGAGCAGCCCCTCCATGGTGGCCTTGTCCAGCACGGGCACCTCGCTGAGATGTAGCTGCTGCAACAGGCTGTTCCGGATGTGCTGCTCGGTCAGGCCCACAGAGGGACTGACAAGGGACAGCCCCCACAGTACCAAACAGAGCCACAGTGACCACATGCTGCTGCTCAGGGGAGCCAGAGGCAGAGGGGGTGTGCTCTGGAGGAGGCTCTTGGAGGGACTTGTGGCCCAGCAAGGCATGCAGAGAGCCAGGGTAGGGCCAGCTTTATAGGAGTGGGAGGAGGGAGGGAGGCAGGGCACACCCCTCGGACCTCCTGGGGACTCCAGCAGCCAGACAGGTCCCTGAGCCTGGAGGAGGGGGCTGTCTGGATGCCACACAGTCCTGGGGCCACTGGCCACTGCTGTCTCAGCTGCTCCACAATAATTTTAGTGCCTGTTGAGTTTCCCCAGCCATACCCCAGTCCTTTTCTATGGAAAGAGAATCTCATTTAGTTGTTCAAATCTCTTTCCTCTGGGCCACTTCTGGGTCTCGGTTTGTTCCTGAGGAATGATAGAAGGAAAATGTTTGCATCCCTGGCAGTGTTGACCAGGACCTGTGCTGGACACTCTTTCACATAAGCCCTTAATTGTCACTCTTCTGTCATCTCCCATCCCTCTGCCCCTATATGCCCCATTCTTGTTCCCTCAGGGTTGAGACACAGTCTTGTCTCCCCTATGACAGAAGGAAGCTAGGAGCTGTCAAGACAGGAAACCTGTCAACCCTGCTGTCCTTTGCAGTCCCAGGAAAAGCAAATTCTACACCCCTTTGTAATCATGTGAGACCAAGTCCTAGAGTCAGGCAGCTAAATTGTTCTGGGGCTGCCTTGTATGGGAGCCTGGCCAGATGGCCTCATACCAGCAGCCCTTACCTTGAGCCAAGTCATTCCCAGAAACAGAACGAAGGCATGGACCTAGAAAGCAGAGGCCAATGCTGCCTTTAGCTCTCCATAGATCCTTGGCAATGTAGATCCCACCCCATTGCCTGAAAAACTTGTCCTGTCCTCAAAACACACGTTTTAGACTGCTTGAATTCCTATATGAGACCTGCTGCTTGCTAGTTCCTTGACTCATTAAGCTCAGTGAATTATTTAAAGCCTGAAATTTTCTTATCTGAAGCAGGTGATAATCATAGGGTCTCTTCATAGAGTTGGTATGAACACGTGTAGAGTGTCTAGCCCAGTACCTGGCACTCTATAAGGATTTATCATCTTCATTATCTGACTGATCTTTACACTTTCAGAGGTGGGACTTTCCTGTAAAAATATCAGTAACAATAATAGCAATCATTTCTCGACTGCTTACTGTGTGCCAGACGTTGTAAACTCTGACCATATAGTCATTCATCTAATCCTCACAACAGCCCTATGAGGCACATTTTTTTTGTTTCAGCCACATTTTCTTGATACAGTTGGAACCCTGAATAGTGAACAACCTGCCGCTGCTCACCTAGGCAGTATAAGGAAGGCTTAGGAGGTAAACCCAGGAAGAGGCCCCTCCTGGCACAGGAGATTTGAAGATGTGTAGGAAGAAACCCTTTTCAAAGCAAAAAGGTTGCCCCCACCCTGCTGCTCTGTCCTGTGGGAGGTAAGCAGTGATGGTGGAGGAGGAAGTGACTGTCCTTGTTGGGGTATGCTGGATCACTGACAGGCCTCTCGTGGCATCCTCCTCCCTCATACACCCCAAGTGTATCGCGCCTACACTAGATGAAAGCCCAGGGGATGTTACCCACAAATTGCCACCATAGTTCTTGGTGGCAGTTTAAAGGACTTTTAGTAGGAAGTGGAGGAGGGAACTTAGAATGTAAGGAAGGGGAGGGATTATGATAATAATCATAATATTGTTAATGGGCTGTTCTTAGTATTTTCCATATATTAACAGTTCTGAGTGCTTTATATATATTAACTCTTTATCCTCGCAATAACTTGATAAGGGAGTTGTCATTATTATTCCCATTTCATAGATGAGGAAATGGAGGGTTGTTCAAAGTACAGGAAACTGGGATCCTGCTAAATATACACAGGATGAGGCAAGGAGAAATAAAGAAATCCTAAGAGCTGAACCTGGGGGAGGAGAGTCTCACAGGGCAATTCAATCCGGGGTCTCAGTTTTTTCTCTGCTCCCCTTTCCTTTCCCCTCCCATCCCTATTTCCATATAATTTGTGTAATTGACAAGGAGGATTTCAAATCCCATCTTGGAGCTTGTATCTCACATAGCTTGAGCATCTCCTGAAATATAAGGCCCCACCTCTGCGTCCGGCCAAACAGGCCCTCCTGCTCTCTGTGTGACAAGTGTAGCTGTCTTCAAAAGAATATCTGTTGCCTTTCTTTGCAAGTGATTAGCAGGGAAAGGACTCACTTAATGCAAACATTTGGGCCTTAAGTCAGACCAAAAGGTGCAGAAATGTCACATTTACAGCAACCCAGGGCCAGTGGCCCTCAGTCCCTGGAAGTAGTTCTGGGTTGATGCTCCATAAAATGCACTAGTCCGCCAGCCATGCCACTGGGCTAGAGGAAGCTTATCATTGGCCAGGTCAGTGCCAAGGATGTAACAAACCACAGTCCTTCCCTAAGCCCATCGCATCTGGACTCAACGGAGCTCCCCTGCAGCTGAGGGCACACAAGGAGTTGGTTCCTATACTAGTTTCAGCAGAGATCTAGCATCACATAGTAAGGGAGATCAAGCCCCTAGAGCCCAGTGGGTGCTCACAGGACTCAAATGAAGCTCTCGTCACCTAAGGGATACCTCGGGGCTGAGGATGGACCTCTTGGAATCCACGGGGTGGCCCAGAGCCCCTTCTACATCTGCCAGACTGATCAGTTAAATTAAAACCTCATTTTTCAGAGAAGAGAGTTAATGGTGGGACCCTTCTATGCTTGCTTTCCTGCCTTCCCCAGAACCAACTCTGGAATGGAGCCCTCAACAGGGACAAGAACTGCCCAGTCAGCACCAGACCTCTCTGACTAAAGACCTGCAGGGATAGGTGTCTGGGAAGGGAGACTGAGAACTCTTCCTAATCTTGTGTGTGTGTGTGGTTTCCTTTAGGGGAAACCTGGGAACATTTGGCACCAACGGAGGGTTTGTCCAGTAAGGTGCCCCATCTTCCTCTTTCCCTTGCTAGTTTGTACAATCAGATTGTTTGGGGCTGAAATCAACTATCTAATCCATTTACCTCCCACCTTCCAATTTTTAAGAGTCAGAGAAATGACAATTTCCCTAAACACATAGTTAATGACTGATGCCTCAAAAATCAAGTCTACTAAATCACAGCCCCAATTTCTTCCGAAACCCTCAATTATTTCTGTCAGAGTTCTGCCCTGCATCCTGGAAGCCAGAGGCTCAGCTGTTAGCCCCAGCTGCGCTGGGCAACTCAAAGAATCTAGGATATGATGTCTGGGGGCTGGGGGTGGAGGGGAGGCAGAGAAGCAGACAGACAGAGGGCAAATCCCTCAGACTCAGGAGGCTTCCCCAAGACAGACTCTCAGCTGAATGTGGATTCCAGACTGTTGGAAGAGTTTTGCCTGGGGAAATAAAATAATTGAGCAATTAGCGAGTGGCCAAAAGAAGAAAGGGAATGTGGATTGGGAGGCCTTTTACAATGGCCCGATTAGTGACAAGGAGGGAGGGCCGTCCGTCCTTTGTCATGCAGAGGAAGGAATCAGGCCTCTCCCAGTCTGTGGGTCTGGCTCAGGTCGTCCGTGGGTCAGGTCAGACTTGAAAAACTAAAATATTGCAAAATAGCCTCTCTGGTCCTGACAGGAAGCCATTTGGCGAATAAGGTAACTTTACGGCATGACTTTAAAAGGTGTCTCAGACCTTACTCCCAAGCTTTCTAAGGTGGAACTAGTCCAGACAGTTTATGGACCTGGGTTGTTAAAATTTAAGTTGTTAAGCTGAGAACATTCCAAGTAAAATGTTCAAATGCTACACAAAGATGCAAATACTAGGCACTGGCACTTGTTTTGTTTGCAAGTATATTGATTAGGACTGAGTTTACTTAGGAACAAAGTCTTCTCCAACCCAGATGTCCTCAGGATAAATCATCCAAAAGTTAGCTTGCTTTGTCCTTCTGTTGTGTTCTTCCTCACCTGGTGTTATATCCAGATGACTATTCCACATGTCTGGTTCATACGACAAGTACTGGATTGTGAGCCACAAGGTCCGCAGTTTGAGCGCACCAGCTAGAAGAAACAGCAGAAAGATGAGGCTTTCTACTCCTGGAAATTTTTTTTAAAAGCTTTGGGAATGCGATACAGGGTCACTTTGAGTCAGAACCAGCGCCACAGCACTTAACAATATTCCACATAAATTGGCCATCAGGAACACTCAATCTAAGCTGCCCAAGCTTTTGGGGTGAGCTCTCGCTTCCTCACCTCCTCTCAGACTGCTTTTCCACAATTCCACTATTAAGTGCCTCCACATCCCATGAGGTTTAGGCTTGTTCCAGTGGGGATGGTGAGTGGTGAATGGTGAGTGGGAAATGGTAGGGAAGGGTTCCTAGGGACAGTGATTTCTACTCAGAATCACCTCAGAAACTAGATTACTGAGCCACACCCAGGCCTACTAGATCATCTTCTTGGGGGGCAGGATCCAGGAGACTGGATGTTAAAGACTATCCACATTAGGTATGAGAAACCTTGCAGGGTGGGAAGCCTAATAGTAGGTCTGTGGGGTAAGGGATTCAAGAGGTTTGCTGGGGGATTCAGGTTTCGGAGGGAAAAAAAATCCCATCATACCACTAATATTCCATGTAACCTGGCTCATTCCAGGCAGTTCTTCAGATTCATCATTGTCTGTGATGAGAGGAAAGAAAATAGCCAGAAGGAAAATGGGGGTGGGGGGGAAAGCGGGTTTCCTGAGCATTTCTGGGGGCTTTTCCAGAAAATTTGAGAGTAATAATAGGTGAAAAGAAAATTGTTTCTCTCTCTAAATACTACAAACATAGTCACATTATCAAAAATTAAGTATTATGATCAACTAATATAGAGAATGTATTATGATCAACTAATATAGAGAATGTAAGGAGCTCTGGTAGCGTCATTGTTGTTATTATTTAGTGCCGTCGAGTCGGTTCCGACCCATAGTGACCCTGTATAGGGTTTCCAAGGAACAGCTGGTGAGC